GGGATCCGAGCGACACCAGCTGGACGTGACCCAGGACGCGGATCCTCCCACCCAGGACGCGGCTCACCTGAGTCTCCAGTTCCGTCACCTCCAAATTCAGCTTGTTCAGGTGCTTGTTCACAAAGGTGATGAGGGACTGTCGGGGGAAAGGGACACGGGGACGTGAGAGACCGGCTCCCGCCAGGGTCGGATGAGACGCGTGCCCCCCCGGGTTTGTGCAACGCTCCCCTGGCCTCCCGTTTACTGAAATAAAAAGCTCCCGTTTAAAGCGAAATGTTCCTACACTAACCCTTGGTTTTAACGAGATGACGCCTAAAACTATCCCAGCTGGAGAGGAAAACACGCGTCTCTGCTCACCGAGCCACGTGCATCCCTTCAGAAGGATGCAACTGTCAGGGGAGATAATTAAACTTTTGAATGAATCCTAGACGTAACCTTGGACAATGAAAGGTGGAGAGAGAAAGGCCACCTCGGGCCACCCCCCTCAGTTTCAGTAAACGGAGGTCGGTCCGGGCCAGACCTCCGGGAAGCGTGCACTTAAACACCTTGTCTCAGCGATCACACCCCACGTTCAGGGAAACTTAATCCCAGCCCCACCCACCCTACCCCTGGACCAGATGTCATTTCCTTACTCCTTCTACTCAAATTTACGGAGCAGCCACCACGGGCCACGCCCTCCGTCTGGTGCTGGGGACACGGAGAGAGCAGGACAGAGCCCCACGCGACTGACACACAAGCTTGGAAAACGCTTCCTACCCAGCTCTCTCGGAGAATTCCAGGCATGTCAGCATTTTAAAGGCCCTGAGAAGTCCTGCATTAAGAAAACCGTTTGGCCCAACCGGGTGCAGTGGGTCTTTCCACCCACAGGTTTCTCAGCAGGCGGCCTGGGCCGATGGTCAGGGGCGTGTCCTTCGCACCCCTGAGGGGACATGGCCCGACCGCGGGCGGAGCGGCTCTGCCGGGAAGGCCGCCTGCTCACCCAGCAGGCCGTGCATGCAGCTTCGTGGCAACGAGGCCGGCAAGAGCCAGCGGCTGACATGCTTTAAAAACGTTTCCACGTGAAAACAGCCTCGCATCCGAATGCACGGGCACGTGGGCGCTGGCGGGGACCTCGTGTGACGGAAGCGGGCAGGTGGGCAGGGAGGTTCCCGGGGCGCGAGATGCTGAGCTCGGAGCCGCGAGCTGTGAGCACCGAAGTTACATTTTGATTATAATGACACCCCGGTCCACGTGGCAGACATCTCAGGGACCTCAAACATTTTCCAGCACGGAATCGGCGCCGTGAAAGGGCAAGGAGCCGGGCACCGAGGGGCGGGCGGGAGGCAGCTGGTCAGTGCGTCTCTCACGTCGATGTCCCTCTCCCCCCGCCCTGCCCCCTTCCGCTCTCTGAAAGCCGGTGGGGAAAACATCCTGAGTGACGATTAACAACAAACAGAAGGACAGGCCCGCCGCCCGCCCGCCTACCTCCTTCACCAGGCTCAGCTTGTCCGGGGCGTGGTCGAAGAGGGTGTCGAAGGCGTCGCGCTCTGTGTGACACGGAGACACGGGGAGAGGGTTAGGGACACGGCCCTGCCGCCGTCCCCGCCCGGCCGCCAGCCTGTCCGAGGCAGAGCAGCGTCCACCCCTCGCGAGGGGACGGTCACGCCCGCCTGGAATCCTTTCACTTCCTGCCAGAGCCCAAGAGCGGGCGCCGGCAAGGAGGAGGCGCCCCCGAGGGCCCTGCCACCCGGGCCTGCCCTCGGCCACGGGCACACGGGAGCAGCTGGACACCCGCCCCCCTCACGTCGGAGGCGTCCTTTCCCCGGGCTCCCTGTCCGCCCGTAAATCGGTGGGTGCACCCGGCCACCTCTCCTCTCTGGCCGCCCGCGGCCACCCTCGCAGCAGCCCCATCGCCCCTCCCCTGGCACAGTTGCAGCCTCTGCCTCACAGGCCTCCCGCCCCCACTCCGAGCCCCAGGACCCATTCTCCCCAGCGGGCAGAGCAAGCTTTTTAAAGTGCAAATTGGACCATACTGTGCCTCCTCCCCATCCCTGCCCCGACTAAAGCTCACCGATAGCTTCTCATGGCTCTTAAATAAAAGTTATTCTCCCTCCGGTGGGCCCCTGGGACTTAAAGGGCTCAGCGCCATCCCCGACACCCTCACCCTCCCCGACACACTCCACCAACCGGCTTCCGGGCTGCTGCTCTGTCACCCGCTCACCACAGGGCCTTTGCACCTGCTGTTCACCTGCCTCGCTTCCTGCAGTTGCTCTCACACGTTACCTCCTCTGAGGGGCCTTCCGTGACCGTGGGGAAGAGCACCCCCCGCCCTCGCCGCCACTCTCTCCCCTCCCATTCCCACCCCGGTGGTTTTTCCCTAGCACTTAATCACTACTTCAGAGTGCGTTTTGTTTCTAGTTGTCTGCTCGGCATGATCTGCTGGACCTTCAGCTCCTCCAGGGCCAGCTCCACTGTTTCGCTTGTTCCCTGCACCGTCTCTGGCTCCCAGAGGCGCCCACAGCAGGTGCTCAGAACAAACGAATGAACCAGGGGGGACCCGGCTCCAGAGTCTCTCTACATCAACTTTTCTAGGGTGTCCCCTGTGTGGGGACATTCATGGGGCCTGAGATGGTCCTTTCCACCACGTCCCACCCACCTCCCTGCTCCCAGATGAACCCTAACCCACTCTGACTACCACACATGGGCCCAGCCTGCCCTCCAACAACTTAGCACAGACTCAACCCCTTCCTTTCCGACGTGAGGTCATCGGAGGCCGACTCAACATGGCTCTTAGTGGATGAGAAAGGAGCAGGGCTGGCTGGGGGCCAGGGGCCCAGGTCTGGCCTGATGGGGCCATGGCCGAGCCACAGGGGAACAGGGTGGGGACAGGACAGGGACCGCTGCCGGCTGAACCCAGACAGGAGGGCAGAGGTCTCCGGGGTGGACACAGGGCTGTGGGGAGTCCCTGCCGGAGCAGGAGGGCAGAGCAGGAGGGCATCTGGAAGGGCCTGGGGTTCCTGACTTCTGTCCTGAAGGAGCCACTGTCCCTCCAAGGTTTCTGGGGTCAGCAGAGAGGTCTAAATCTCAGTGTGGGGTTCTTGGGGGGCTGCAAACCCAGCCCATTGGGATGGGGTGAGAAGTCTCCTCCGCCAGTTTGAGGGTGGCCAGGAGACCAGAAGCAGAGCCGGCCCAGAGGCTGCTCCAGGACTGTCCAGCCTGACCCGGGGGGGCAGGGGAGAGACAACGTGCCTGCCCAGGACGCTGCCGAGCCGGGCCTGCTGGAGGAGGCATCCAAGCCGCACCCCACCCCCACCCCGGGCCCTGAAAGGAAGGTGCTGGTCTCAGCACCCAAGGTCAGGGGCCGCAGGAGCCGCTCCCAGCCCAGCCCAGCCCAGGGAGCCCGGGAGCCTCCTCCTGGCTTTAGGGGGAGGGAAGAAGGTGTGTGTGTGATATGTACACACATGAATATGGGGACGGGGCCCTAGCCGGCTGGCTCAGTGGTTAGAGCATCAGCCTGAAGGGTCTTGGTTTGGATTCTGGTCAAGGGCACCTCCCTCGGTTGCAGGCTCGATCCCCAGCCCTGGTTGGGGTGCGTGTGGGAGACAACCAATCAACGTGTGCCCCTCACTTCAATGTTTCTCTCTCTCTCTGCCTCTCCCTTCCACTCTAAAAAAATCAATGGAAAAAATATCCTCAGGTGAGAATTAAAATAAAGAAAATGGGGACCAGGCATGTGTGTATGTCTGGGGGGTGGGGGGTGACCTAAAGACCAGCCCTGCGGACACCTTTCTGCGGCAGTAAATTATTTTTATCACATCTAACTCAGATTATACTCAGTAAGACAGTCTACTGAAATAAGAAGCTAATAAGAAGCTAATCTACACAAAGCAAAACACAAATGTTAAACGCAACGTGAGCAAAACCCCAGGGGCAGAGCAGCACCTGACGTCAGTGGGTATATTTAGCTGGGCGGCCGCGGGGCCGGGGGAGCCGGCACGGGAGGCGTCAGAGCAGCGTCGCTGTGGCCAGCAGGCCTGTGCTGCATCCTGCCTGCCTGGCCTTGGGGACAGGAAACAGATCCGGGTTCAAATCCCAGCTGCCCGACTCCAGAGTCCCCTGATCTCAGGCAGGTTGCTCCTCGGTAAAGCGGGAGTGAAAATAAAATAGCCTCTCCCTCACCCTCGGGCTGGGAATTAAAGGGCCGCGAGGACAGGGCAAGCGTGTTGCCCGCAGGGCTCCGTTCATCACAGCTCCCTCTCGTCCTGCGGGCGGCCCTCGCCTCCCTCCTCTGGGGACAGTCGCAGAAATAAATAGGGAACAGCCCTGCCCTTGGCGGGAGGGAGGGGGGCACAGGCAGGGGAGGCAGGTGGGTAAACCAAGTGGCACAAAGAAGACAGGCACCTTAAAAGGCCAGAAAGGACACAGGAAGGGCCCCATTGGCCAGTGTCGGCCAAGTTCAACCTTCGGCGTGTCTGGTTTGGTCCAGAGAAAGTTGTTTCTGTTTGTTCAAGCTGACTTCTAAACTGGAAGACGTATCCACAGGTCTGAATTTCTGGATTCTCTTAAAGGGCTGGAAGCTGGGCTACATCCCCGCCTGACATCAAAGAGCCGCCCATGGAAGGGGAGCATGGAAGCTGCACTTTGCCCCAGACCCCACCACTCCCCGCTGCCCCACACAGAGGCCAAGGGGCAGCTGCCGGTTATCATCTGATATTCCAGCCACTTGCCTCTTTCATGTTATCAGCCTGGTCCCGGGAGGCATCCAAGTTCAGGGCCCACGGACGTAGAGAGGGGCTGGGTCCCTCAGGCTGAGGAGCCCAGGAGGGCAGGACCCGGAGTGGGGTGAACACAAGGTCTGCTGGCGGAAAGGGGGGATGTGACAGGGAGGGCCCAGGAGGGGGGAGGAAGGACGCTTCTCCCCCTGTAAGGGGGGGGGCTCTGGGAAGAACCCCAGGGAGGCGGAGGGGCTGCCTTAGCAGAAAGCAGCCAGCAAGCCCGTTGCCATGGAGACCAGGCTGCGGCTCCCCAACTCCCCCGGGGAGAGAAGGGCCTCCCATCCCACCTCAGCCAGGAGAGTGATGATGTCGGGAGCTGGGGCAGGGAGGGAGGGGAGGGGGCAGAGTGGACCCTCCCTCCCTAGCCTGTGGGGCTTGTGTGAGAAGCCGAGGCACCCAGTGCCTGCCAGGCGCCTGGCGGGCTCCACGCGAGTAAACACTGAGGTCGGGAGCAAAGCCGCGTGCTTCCCGTGAGCACAGACCTCAGTAAATAATAAGGCGGG